AAAGCTGATTTGATTCTCCTTTTTCAAATCATCATTGTCCTTATTGGATCCCCCTGATTATTACGTTCCAGAATTTCTCTTCCTGATTGATCTGCATCACCCACCAAATTACAAAAAAAAAAAGGATCTTTACGAGCTTCACAGTAGCATAAAGTTGAACCCACACTAGTGTTTTTCTTCTCCCTTAACTCCAATTAGCTACACAAACATAGACTTCGCTCCTATAGGTTCATATTGCATTGACCGTTGAACTCAATTCCCAACCACAAGAGAAAAAGGCCCTAAAGAACAACCTGTACTTCTTTCTCTCCCAACACCACATATTCACTAAGCTGAAAGATTGGACATTCTCACTCCTCCCAGTATCACATATAAGTATGCGGATCAACAACTTTTTGGTTAATTTAATCACAGAAACTACCACAACCAGATCACAACGCAGCAATCAGACACGTCATTCTGTTTCTTTTGCAAAAGATAAAGCAGTGGATTGTTCTGGAACTTTGGAAAGAAAATCTACTCTTTGTGTCAGCACTTTCATTTACATGCGCACTAATAATTGTCAAACTAATAAATAATTGAATTATCTACCCCACGTATTAAAATAACGCATTAGCAGCATCCTTTTTGCGTACTATAATGCTATAGATTTTCGGAAATGAAGGAAGAAAGGTTTAATTAAGCTTCTGATATTGCCGGCGCTGGGGACAGTCGTCGGAGTCAATTTTGGCCTACAAGTGGTTTTTCATTGTGATTCAATTTCGGAATCGGATTGTTGTTCATCCCTCTGTTGTCCTCTTGATTTTGTGATATTTGGAATCCGAAATGAAGCAAAAATTACCCTAGAGAATACCTCATCAAACGTGAATCAATCTCGATCGTCGACCCTCTAATGCTAATTAAACAAAAATTACTTCTTATATATTATTTTTTTATTCTTTGTTCTTATTCTGTTTTTCTTATAAGTTAAAGAGTTTACTGCATTCATCCACGTAACATATATATTTTAATTTTTTATAATATATGCAATTTCATAATAGAAGATTTAAGTTCTCGTAACATTATATCAAAGTCATCTTAAGAGTCACTTAAGTTGTTAACTATCTTTTATCTTTTCATATATTTATAACTCCAAATCAATCACTCATGTACTAACGTCTTCTATCATTGTAATTTATTTAATATATCAATTATCATGTATTTCATATATTAAAGTTATTAATTATCGCGTATCTCACAAATCAAAATAATAAGCGAGACAATCTAGATTTGACAAGTCTTAATTTTATCATTGTAATTTATTTGATATGTCAGTTATCGCATCATCACGTATCTCATAGATCAAAAAAGTAAACAGAACAATCTAAATTTGATAAATCTTAATTTTATCATTATAATTTATCTGACATGTCAATTATCGCGTATTTCATGAATCTAAATAATAAACATGATAATTTAGATTTGACAAATCTTACTTTTGTTATGGTAATTAATTTGATATGTCAATGATCCGTGTATATCATAAATTAAAATAACAAACAAAGATAATTTAGATTTGATAAGTCGTAGTTCAATCATTGTAATTTATTTTATGTGTTAATTATTGCGTATCTTATAAATTAAAGTAGGGAGGGAGGCAATATAGATTTGGTGAATCTTATTACACTACAAAGAAACCCCGACAGATTGCAAGCTAAGTCAAAACTGAACAACCGGGTAAAATGATGGAAGTTCAGGCATTTGGCCATTGAGTTAAGGACAACTTTCTATCTTGGAAGGAAAAAAACGACCGAGATTTCAGAGAAGTGGCTTCACAATGTAACTTTTATTTCGTTTAAACCAGCAAAAGACCGTTTTGTCGTATTAGAGAAGAAGAAAAATATAACATGGTTTTATGATAAATAATCATAACCAAGACCTGGCATGGAGGAGAAAGTGTGCAATCAAGGGAAAGAAAGGTCAAATAAAGGGGCGCCAGCTTATGAAGGTTTTGCTTCCCCCACACTGTATCTAGAGTGGCTGGCTGGCTGCCTCGCATTGTCCTACCAGCCAACTTGGAAAAAAAAGGTAAACACTGTTATACTAGCCTCATTGAAATGAAGTTTCGAGTAAATCAGCCTTAGGGCATTGGCCTCCTAATTTTCATTTGGGCATTTGTTTCATTGCCTTTTAATCTTATTCAGGGTAAGTGCATAAAATAGGAGGCAAACTTTATAGAACTGTTAAGAAATAAGAGCAGTACGTATAGCAGCATTAATTGAAGTGCATCACTATCGTAGTAATGGACCATGTCAGCAATAGCATGATAAGGCAAGTTAATTGAACAACCCCCTTCTTTGAAACTCCCTCTACACCTTCCTCCATCAATCCCACAGCATCATCCATCAACCCCCTCATTTCCTCTTCTCTTCCCTTCCTTTTTCTCTACAAAGATCGAGAAGCTAAAGAATAAGCATACTCAAATTCAAATACCCATTTTTCATGACTATCAAACAGGAAAAACAAAGGCATAGAGCAAGAATAAGAGGCAGAGACAATTTTTATGTAAGTGGTCTCGTTATTGAGTATGTTTATGAATGAACAAATGTTGTACAAGCGGTTGCTGGAGAAAATTAAGAAGATCAACCTATACAGTTAGCTGCAGGCTCCTCCAAAAGGTGCCTCTACAATAGGTAGTTATTTTTATCAACCTCCCTCATTAATAATTTTGTCAACTATTTAAGTACATGACACATACAAGCCCAGAAAACATGCACCAACAGCACTGTGCACCCACAAAATTGGTATACGGCCGGAAAATCTCAATAGAATGATAAACTCTGATAAAGACTGGTCTCAAACATGGAAAATCTCTTTTGAAAGTTTCAAAATTTTAGTTGTAGCATGTGAAATGCAACTAAGAAGTGTTTTTTTTTGGCTGGGGGACCAAAATATTGCCCTTTAACTTTAAAGGTATCAGTTTTTGTAGTTAGGATAGAAAGCAATAAGTAAACATAACCATTGAATTATCCTATTTTTTTAATGCTCTTAATTACTTATTTAGTAGTATTATCCTTTTAATAAAGTATGCAAATTAAAAATTGGGCAGGAGAGTCAAAATAGTTAGAAAAAAGGAGTTAATTATCTATTAAAAGTTAAAACAAAAGATTAGCTATTCAAAACAAGAGCAAAATAGAATTGAAAGAAATAATAGGGGGAGAAAGGGGGAAAATAACTGATATTACAATGGTTGTAGAAGATAATCGACTCTTGATCATTAACCCATTAATTGGAGACAAGAATCCTATTAATTGCTTGGATATATTGGGGAGAAAAGAATTAAGCTTAATTGATAATGAAGACTAACTCAAGCTTTTTTGCTTTCTTTTTTATATTATTATTCTGCCATGGCATAATACATACTTTATGAAATCTCTTTTTCTTTTGACAAGATGGTAGAACTTGATCTGAATTCTATGTAAAGGAAAGAACTTGAAGCATGTAATATTTCTTTCCCTTTTTTTTTTTTAAATTTTGGGTCAGAAATTAAAGGAAACTGAAGTATTGCATTCCTAATTAATGCCCGTTAATCGTCCAGTCATTGAATACTTCTGACCCTGCATGGTTGAGTCACCTGGCAAGAATTTTACATTCCCTCTTTTTTTTTTTAATTTCTAAAAAAAATAGTTTAGGAAAAAATAATTAAAAGAAGAAGCTTATAAAATAAAGAAAAAAGATACAAATGATGAGACATAAAAGTGAGGAATATTCTTAGGGAGCTGCAAATTGTGGCCTAGGGAATGAATCATGTTCTAAGCTTAGTATAATATGATAGCCTACCTTCATTGTTTTTAATTAAAATAAATAAATAAAAGGAGAAGAAGAAAATTATAATAACCTGCCAGGAAAATGCAATTCATGTAATGCATGCTTAAGTATTTCCTTTATTCTATTTTGTACGAAAACATTAATAGATGATGGTGAAACCCTTGAATTTCAAGTATTAATGCCGAAACCCTTCCAATCATATATAATCTGAAGGAACATTCAACTGAAAAAGAAAAGAAAGAAAACCCGAGGAGGCAAACAATAATAAGAAACAATCTCCAATTTAACTTTGAAGAAAGAGAAAAAAACGAAACTGACAGGATCAGGCAATAAATGTCTTATCTCCGTGATATATCACCATTCAGGGCCAAACACAAGTGTCATTTAACTCGCTCGGGTGGGAAGCAGTTGACAGTAGGCAGCAGGGTAACCAGCAGCTCAAGAATCAAAGAGTCTACGGAGAGGAAGGCCATGAGCCCTGCAACCCCTATCTCTGCTTTGCTTTCATCATGCCTTCTCTTCTTTTTTCCTATCCAAGAAAAGATCCAATTAGAAAGAGACAAACCAAAGTACACAGATGATCAGAAAGAAAAAGAAAAAAATAATACAAAAGTGGGGAATGACTTGAGAGCTTTGAGGAGTGTATTGGGTAAAAGCAAAAACTCCAAACACTCTTTTTTCGTCTTTCCTCCTCTTTTCCCTGTTAGACTGAAAAGAAAACTGGCAGGCACAACCCTAGCCATGTTTTCTTCTGGCACACGCTTTATCTAAATAAAGCAGGCAAAGGAAACAGCCAAGGAAAAGATCAATCGAATCAGCATTTATCTTCAGCCAGTGGCTGCAGAAGAGTGCAGAGACCTGTATGATCAGTTTCAAACTTCAAAGCAAAGCTCTCCCATTTGCAACCAAAATATCAAATAAATAAAATGGCAAAAGGCCTGCCACCGCAAAGAATCTGGCAACAAATCTAACATGTAATAAACAGAGAAGATAAAAGCAAACCAGTTTAACCAGAAGAAAGTTTGATTTTGATATATGGCAATCCATACGCTCGTTATAGAAGATTTTCCAGGGGTTCACCTCTTCGCTCAAAGCCAATGACTTTGCACCATCAGCTCAAACCCATTCACATTTTATCCAGAATAAAGATTAACTGCTGAATAGAAGATCAATTAACTAAAGATTTAAAATTTCAGACTAAACAAAGATAATTAATGATCATATCATGATGCAATAAAACACTACATAACCCCAAAAAGGGCCAAAAAAAAAAACAAAAAAAAAAACGGATTCTCTAAACTCCCATTAATTCACAGTGCTCTCCAAAGAAAAAAAATTTAAAGATAAAGAAAGAACTGAATAAACTACAACTTCGAACTCATTAGTAAGGCGGTGGGCGGTGGTGGTCTAGCAGTCGGAGCCCAAATCACATCTGACCCACCCAAATGACAACTATACATCGAAACCCCGCAAGAATCCACCCCACCACCGTGACCACTATCTCCACCGCCACCAGACAAAGGCGGCGACTGTCCTTCACCACCACCACCACCACCAGACGACACTGTATTCCTCGCTCTTCTTCTCCTGATAACCGATGATACGAAGGGTTGTTAAAAGTAGCAGCTACTATGAACACGGTGCCAGCTGCTACCAATGAGCCAGCTACGAACCCTCCAACGATCTGCCCTTGAGGACCAGCTAAAGAGATAGAGAACGTATTCGGCACGTGACACGACGTCGTTTGAGGGAGAACGTGGCGGAGAGAGATAAGATGTCGAATCTGCCATGGAAAGTTATGGTAGCTCCCGGAGTCGTTGACGGTTGACGGAGAGTTACGTTCGAAACGGTTCCAGATCCTGTAGTACGCAGATGCCAATGTTTTTGCGACGAGAGAAAACGGGAGATAGCTTCAACGATGTCGTTTCCTCCAGGGATTTCGAGAATGTAAGGACTCATGGCGGGCTCGGGTTCGCGAGTGATGATGACGGGTGGCTTCGGCTTGTTTTTGGAGCCTGGAGGACGGCCTCTTGGTCTTCGAATGACTTCAATGGTAGCTCCATCGCCACCGCTAGTACCGCCACCGCCACCACTAGGAGAGTGGAGTTGTGGTTGGTGTGGGGTCTTTGGTGGTAGGGGTGGTGGTGCGACTGGTGTCTTCAGAGTCAGGGGTTTGCGAATCGCGAGAGAGTTGGAAGTGATGAGAGAAAGGGTGGTTTGGGTGTTGGTGCTGTTGATGAGAGTGGTGGAGTTTAGAAAACATGTTGTTGTGGCTTTCATTTTTCGTTTCTACATATTCACCTTTCATGTTGTGGGGGGTTTGCCTTTTTTTTTCTCTTTTTTGAAATGGGCTCCTAATTCTTTTCCTTTTTTCTATAAAAAAATATAATTTCTTTGTCATGTATGATTGGTGAGAATTTGATGTGAGATTTTGTAATAAAATAAGGGGAAAGAAATTTAAAAGGCAAGAAAAGAACAAGAGCAGGAACAAGATGGAATGGAGGGGAGTGGGCTGTGGGGGTAGAAAACCTCTAAGGGATAGAGAGAGAAAGGAGCAGTAGAAAGAAGAGAAGTGTGGCGTTTGGATTTGTTTATAGGGGAATAAATAAATGGGCAGGGATCGAGAGAGAGAGAGAGAGAGAGAGAGAGAGAGAGATGGGAGATGGGGGAAGGGGGAGGTGGGTGAGCTTTGAAACCAAGTAAAGACTAATGGCGCCGCTGGTTGGAGGTAAAGTAGGGTCCACATCCACCGAGAGAGAGAGAGACGCAAGAAATTGACAAAATGGGAAAGCATGGGACATTGGTTAGCTAAGCATTGCACCGCCTTTGTTTTTCTTCAAGTTTGAAAGGAGAGACAGAGAAAGAGGAGAAGAGTTTTGGCCTTTGGGTCCTCCCGACTCCCGACCGAGTGGATTGACAATGACTCCTTGATGTTCTTCTTTTGGGTCATGGGGGATGCCCTTCCTTTTTTTCTTTTCATTTTTTCATTTTTTAAACTCCATTCACTTGGGCTTACCACAATTTCCTCTTCCCTTCTTTCCTTTTTCGTTCATCTTTGTTTGCGTTGGAGGGCAATGTTTTATTGTCTCTACTATTCTGATAATAATTCTGTCCGCTCCCCAGTGTCTAAGTCTACCTAGCCGAGACTGCTGTCTCTCTCTCTCTCTCTCTCTCTCTATGTTGAAACTCTCAGCTCACTTACTTTGACAAGAAGGGGGTTACCTTCCCTATTCTCATGTGCTTAACATGTTAAAATGGCAATGGGGTTTCCTTTTGTTTTGTGGTGGGTAAATTGGGTATATGCATTAGCACTGCTACATGACTCGATTCAAGGGAATTCAAGGCTTACAATCATTTTGCTTAAGAAGCACATTTTGGAATTTTATGCAACCCCAAAAAGTCAGAGATGATTGCTATTCTATTTTTTTTTTTTTAAAAAAAAAGGAGAAATGTGAAAAGTAAATATCAAAAGTGGGCCCAAGGAAATCCTGTCGCATGCCATATACCAAAAAAAAAACCCTTTAGCCTTCTCTTCTTTCACTGTTGTTGTAATTCAAGTGTAGGTTTGAGTACGCGTACCGTATGTAGGGTTTCGTCGTGTGGGGTCTTTCTTAACCGTTACCTTCATTTTCCTATCACTTTCCTTTTTTTATTATTATTTCGTAAATTAATGTAATATTATTTATACATATATATATATATATATATCACAAAGTCAATTGAAATCTTATTTCTTTTAACTGTTAACTTGATATAAAATTATTTATTTTTTAAATGACACAAAGTTGTAAGAAAAAAAAGATTTTTTTATTTTTTTTATAAATTTTACTCTTAAAGTAATATAAAAATTAAAAAATGCTACCTAAAATTAGTATTTTAAGGAAACATAATATCCCAAAAAAGGATTCCCATTTTTTAAAAATTAAGTTATTAGGAGACATTCTAAAACAATAATATAAATATTTTATTGAGATTAAAAAGAGTAACATGTTTAATTTAAATCTAGAAAACTATTCGTACTATATTTCTTAATCATTGCATTGCAAGAAACTACACATATAGAGCATATCATTATATATATATATATAAGATCTTAAACTACATAAGACAACCAATTCTTTTACATCTTATAAACTCATTCATTAATCTCATAATTCCAGTTGAAATCCCAAATCTTTAACACCATAATATTCCTTTAAAAATACGTTATTTATATCATTAAAAACGAAATTTTTTTTAAATACTATTTATGACAATTGATGTACCGTCAGAAGAGAGAAAGAATGCATTTTCTTCTTTATTTTTTTTTTATAAAATAAATACAAGTTTATAGTGGAAACAATGAATCTGACCATAGACTATTGATGTAGGTGGATAGCAGCAGCAGGGTTATTTCTATTTTTTTTTTTAAAAAAAAGGCAGCTGGGTTCCAAGATAAGGATTGCATAACAAGTTGAAGCTGATTGCCCAAGAATCTTAGTTGAAACTTACACTTTTAAAGGATAAAGAAGGTGTTGCTACGTAGCACCCGCATGAAAAGTATGGGAAAACTTGACAAGTTAGGCTACCCCATTCTATATGGTCCAATTCTTCACCCTTAATTTATTTATAGCAACTCAGATTCGTTACTATATTTTGGGGAGCATCCCCGTATCTACTTTTCTTCCTTGTTTCTTCCAAATTTTTTTTCTTCATTAATTTCCATATCTCTAACTAATTATTACCCATTAATGAGCATGATCCATTCTTATATTGGAACAAGTTTTTGGATTATAATCTTGATAGACAATGAAACTTTTTACGTTGAGATTATAAATCAAGATTAGAGTTATTTTGTCGGTTTTTAAATTATTCGACTATTCACGAATTTATGTGTATTTTGATTATAATTTTATGAATATTTTTTTTGGGGGGGACTGAAATTTATAGCCAAAGCTTTAGTCCAAAGCATGGGATAACTTTAGCACGGACAAAGCAATGAAAGGATAAGGAAAAAAAGCAGAATTTGCCTGTTTGAGTAACTAAAATCGAATAAGACATGTATGCAACAGCATCGGAAAGTAAAACATCAGCATAAATAAGGAAATATTGGCTTTGAAACAACAGATTTTAAAGGCAAAAGGTGAAAGCTTGACTCAGACGTTATAGCTCCCCTGCTGTGCCGATTGGTGTAAATAGTAAAACAAACAAAACAAATTTTATGCCTTCCCTGCTGCATAATGCCCTAATTAGCAATAGATTAACTTATAATTTTATCCATATTTAATTTCTTTTATTTTTTTTTTTAAGAAAAGGAAAAACCCAAATTCTTTGTTATTTGCCGTGCGTGTTTGACGCATTTGCAATGGGTTTCCAAGGGCGGCTTTCGTTTTTCCTATTATTTTATCATTTGACTCTGTGAAAAAGTATGAGCCAATTGGTGGGGAGTGAGAGAGAAATGATGCGCGTTTTCCTTCACCGTTTAATGACACCGAAGAAAAATATTTACTTCTCGATGAATGGAACACACAACAAGGATTGATAGTTAATAGCTGACTTCGATGAGGTTTATTGAAAAAAATAAAGAGATTGGATTAGCCACTATGTTAATTAAATAGTTTTATGGAGTTGAAATATGCGGTCATCTCAAAGCATCTAAGGCTCCTTTTAGTCATTTCCTTACTAATGCCAAAACAAAAGAGTAAATATTTTATTATTTCAGTTGCATGTCTTATCTATCTGATTAAATCGATTGAAAATAAGATATTTAATTTAATTTGTATAAGATAAAGTGTGAAAGTTAAAAAATGTTTATTAAACCACGAGATAACACTTAAAATCAACTCATTTTTTACGAAAACGATTTAGATTAACTAAGTAAAATAATAAACTTTAAATGTTTAAGGAAATTTAGTGAAAATGCTTGTAGGAACAATGGAAAGTTTGGGGTAAAGCTAAAATCACCACAATGCTTTGTGTAACTAGATGAATACAGCATCTAACTACAAAGCTTGGGTTGGCACTGAAAGAATCGAGAAAAAACTAAAAGAAGAAAACAAAGGGCTGCCCACGTCAGAGGTGAGCTATTGCTTGAATAAAATAACGACATTAAATACCTAAGGGATCGACTAGTTTGACCGTTAAATTTGCGTAATATAATAACATTGGGGAGGGGAATAATCAGAGTTGAAGCAGTTCTCTAGAAAAGGGTGGAATACTTTTAGTTTAATTATTCATAAGTGTCTATTTTTTTTTTCTTTTGACCATTCTTCTATTATATTTTATTGCTGGAGTACGAAACCTAATCTCATAGGTGCCAAATTTGAGTTTTGACTATGGTAGCATATTCTGTCAAAGAGTCCTGAACCGGAAAAAACACTCTACCCAGGACAGCTCTCATTGGTTACTTGGATTAAGTTGTCGGATATGGAATTACAATAATTGAATAATACTAGTAACCAACAATGGAATAAATTAACCAAGGAAATGCCTTAATGAAGGCAAGTTAAGGATATTTTTAAAGAAAAAGGAGAATCAGATTACTAGATGTAAAGCATTTGTTTTTGTCAAAATGAAGGTAATGGGTGCTCCACGTGTCCTTAAATGATTGTATAATAGAAGTTTTGGATAACTTACTTAGTGCAAATCCTACAATTATAGGCATAATTTGGAGTTTAATGACAAGCAGGAACAAAAAGGAGACACAGGTAACAAATAGTATTAGCCTCATTCCCTGAATCGCTGCGGACGAAGCGGGGAAGACACAGAAAGAAAAAGGAAAGCCAACAATTCCAGGGACTAGGTCCAGTAAAGAAACCCAACTTTTGTGGGTCGAAACTAGGCTTTCGAGCTTGAGCAAGAGAAAATGCTTGGTCACTGGAGCTGATCTTGGTCTTCCAGGCATCGACAAGAGCAGCCGGTTTCAGCCTTTAGACCGGGCAAACCTGGTTAAGGAAAGTCGGAAATCTGGAAGTCGAGAAAGTTCAGCTGTAAAGACGAGGCACTTGGTGCTTAAGAGGTGGAATTTCCTGCCTAGGAAGATCAGAAAAAGGCTGTATGCAAGGTAACGAGGCAAGCATGCCTTTGCAAAAGCATTGAATGTTTGTTTTCGTTTCTAATAGTAGAATGTTAATACCATGCAACATTTGCAGGATTTGCCAAAGTAGGGTTGTTCAACGTTGGCTGAACAGCTCTATATCCAAGGAGTGGAAAAATAATTGCCGAAACTTATTAAATTGAAACTAATTCTATCAAAGTTAATGGAAATTTCAATGCTTAATGTTCATTCAGATATTAGGCAGTAGACAGTAGATTACCTGTTGCTCTGATAGCATGAGTTCAGGAAGGCTTCTTAAATAACATATTTTACCAGTTGGAATTCTCCCATAACCAGCAGGGGAAGAAACTGTACTAGATTGTCTATTCAACATCACTAATATACAAATTAGATAAATTTCACCAGATGATACAACTTGAAAATATGGTGTGATTCAGCAAAACTGTATAATCTAGTTCAGAAAAATAAAGTGACACCAAGGAGCCGACAAATATGAAACATACAAAAGAATGGAGATTCCACCATATCATATTCGAGCAACATATGAATTGGCCTGAGTAACATATCTCACCCATCGATATGGATTATAGGAACTAGATTTCTTCGCTATCTGC